TTCTAGTTGCTGTATGCGGGACTCCGCCTCAGGATGAACGGAGAAGTGGTGCCTCGATGCGCACCCGGGATCCGAACCCGGGCCACCAGCATCGCAGCGTGCGCACTTAACCACCAAGCCACAGGGCCGGCCCTGTAATGAATCTTAAATATGATGATGCTCTAACCCTTCACCTGGGTCTTGTGCATGGCAGATAATCGCCACAATGGGAGCTAGTGTCGGAACAGTTTTAACACCTAAAATGCAGGACCAGTTCTTACCACCTTACAAAGCATTCTCTGCTCCCCAGAAGCTGCCCTCCCAGAAAAGAGGCCCGGGGGAAAGAGCCCCCTGGTGTGTGTTGGGGATGTCTCTGTGGCCAGGTCCTCATCCTTCCTGCCCAAGGCACCTAAAGTCAGAGCCTCACTCATCCCAACAAACAGCAGGCCTAGGCTTCTGGGAACAGCACTTACTGGTCTAATACAACCACATCCCAGTGTCCTGTGTACTGGCGGGCCAGCCTCAGGGCCAGGTCATTCGCTTCAGACCTACGGAAAAGAAAAAGGGGGCACTGCTCAGACAGCTGTTCAAGGGCTTTCTCTCCCGGATACGTGCTTCCTATGGAGAAAACCAGAGGGAAGGAGGAGCCCTTCCAGCAGCAAGAAGATTCTCAGGACACCATTTGTTAGTTATTCACTTATTCATCCAGTAAAAATTTATCAAACATCTTCTATGTGCTAGGACCTGGGGGGGAAAGCAGTAAGATAGACAGGCCCTGAGCCTCCTGAACTTATATTCTAGTATGTGTCATGAAAGCCAAAAAACAAAGAAAGAATGAATGATCATTTTGATACGTGCCCCAAGAGAACCAGACGGGGCCCTACTTTAGATAAGGGGGTGTTATGGGCTGAATTGTGTTCCCCAAAACTCATATATTGAACCCCCCCACCCCCAGTATCTCTGGATAGGACTGTATTTGGAGAGAGGGCCTTTAAAGAGGTGATTAAGTTAAAATGAGGCCATCAGGGTGGGCCCTAATCCAATCTGACTGGTGTCCTTATAAGAACAGGCAATTGGGACACACAGACACAACGGGTATGCACGCGTGAAAAAAGACCATGTGAAGACACACCAAGAAGGTAGCTATCTGCAAACTAAGGAGAGAGGCCTCAAAGAAGCCAAACCTGCTGACACCTCAATCTTGGATTTGGGCTCCAGGACTCTGAGAAAATAAATTTCTGTTGTCTAAACCTTCCCGTCTGTGGTATCTTGTTATAGCAGCCTGAGCTGACTAATACAGGGGTCAGAGAAGGACTCTATGAGGAGGAACCACCTGAATCCTCAGGGGGAAGTTTCCAGGTAGAGCAAGCAGCATGCGCAAAGGCCCCGAGGAGAGGGAAAAGAGCTCCGTGTGCTCAGGGAAGCGAGAGAGGACAAGGGAAGCCAGGGGCAGTGCAGGAGAGGAAGTGGGGAGACGTGCAGGGGCCATGTTCACAGGGCCTTGGAAGAAGCCGGGATTTTCTTCTCACTGCCATGCAAAGCCACTGAGGAGGTTTAATCAGAGAAGGGACATGATTCAGTTCCCATCTGAGGAGGAAGACTCTGGCTGTGTGGGTCCAGTGGAGTAGAAGGGAATGAAAGTGGAAGTGAGGAGCCCGAGAAGGAGGACATGCAGGTGAGAGCAGGTGGGGCCCTGAGGTGGAGCAAGGTGGCCAGAGGTAGGAGACAACCTGGAGATAGATGAGGCAGGACTGGGAGGAGGCCGTGTGGTTTCTGCCTTGAGCAGAGACGCAGATGGTGCTGCCATTTACGAGCTGAGACAGGGTGGATGTGGCAGTAAGGGGGGATGATCTCTTGGGAAGGTCTGGGGGAGGTGCCTGGGAATGTCAGGGAAAGCCAGCCATGGTCCCACACCAGGTGTTGGCAGATGACAACCAACTCTAGACTGTCTTTTGGACACGTGACATTGGAGATGTTCTAGAAGTCAAGTGGGCGGTTAGAACTTTGAGGGTGGGAGGCATCTGGGCTTGAGACACAAACTTGGGAGTTACCAGCACATGGATGGTATTTAAGACCATGGAAACGGATGATATCACTGTAGGGAGAGGGCTGAGAGAGGACAATGGCATGGGACCAGCCTGGGAGGAATAGAGAAGGAAAAATCCACAAAGGAGACAGAGGAGGAGTGGCCAGAAGCTGGTGGGAAACCAGGAGCACACAGTGTCCTGCAACCAGGACCAGAAAGCACTTCCAGAGAGAGTGGTAACTGTCAGTATTGCTGAGAGAGTAACACAAGGGCAGCAAAGAGACCACTGGATTTAGCAACATGGAAGTCACTGGAATCCACAGAATCAATCTGGTGCAATAAGCCAGCAAATGTCCCTTTCTCCACTGCCAAGGAAGCACTAACTCCTAGACCCAGCTCCCTACTCTTCCCAGAGAGGTTCCAGTTCTGGTTTCCCCATCTCCTATGTGGATGACCCTGGGCAAGCTAGCTCCTTTCTTTGAACTGCTGTTTCCTTATCTGTAAAATGAAGATGGGAAACTCCACTTCCTAGAAATTACTGAGGGGACAGATGAATGTACTTCGTAAAAGGCAATGATAATGAGGGCGGCCCGGTGGCACAGCGGTTAAGTGCGCATGCTCCGCTTCGATGGCCTGGGGTTCGCAGGTTCACATCCCAGGCGCGCACCAAAGCACCGCTTGTCAAGCCATGCTGTGGCAGCGTGTCACATAAAGTAGAGGAAGATGGGCAGATGTTAGGCCAGGGCCAATCTTCCTCAGCAAAAAGAGGAGGATTGGCATCGGATGTTAGCTCACGGCTGGTCTTCCTCAGCAAAAAAAAAAAAAAAGGCAATGATAATGATAATAATCATTACTATAATCCAAATGCCACGACCTATGATTTGTTGGAATGTTCTCTCCCAGGCATGCTGGGCTGGTTTTGTGTACACACCATCATCTGCCATTTCTGTCTCCACTGCCACTCCTAGTGTGGCACCTAACAATGTCCATTCTTGCTCTCCCCCAGCCCAATCACATCATTTGCCTGATTAAAACCCTCCAAGGGCTTCCCAATGCTCTTAGGATAAAAACAGATTCCTCTCTTGGCCAATAAGGCTCTGGGTGATGGGCCCTGCCTCCCTCCCCAGCGTCAACTCACACCCTCTCCCCTCCCTCACTGGCTGCCTTTTGGTTCCTCAGGTGTGCTGAGGTGCCATGACCCTTCCAGCCACAGGGCCTTTGCACAAGCTGTTCTGTGTGGTGACCAGCCTTGACAAGAACACTTCTGAGGGAGTGGGCAGCACACTTCCTTCCTCCTTATCTAGTTATCTCCTAGTTAGCTCTTAGCCTAACACCATTTCTTGAGGGAAGCCTTCTCTGATCCTCTCAGAGCAGGCCATGTCCCCCACAAAACTGGATCTGACAGAGTAAGCCCAGGGTCTACAGCTGGGTGCCTGGCACAGTGAGGGCTGCCTCTCCCCAAGTCCCCACTTGGTCGGCTACACTAGGCTGTGCCCAGGTAAGCAACTCTCTTCTTTGTCGTCTCACCCACTTGCCAGGGCCTGGCTGTGGTCCACTTACCCTGAATTCAGGAAATAAAACACACAGAGCTGCTCCGGCAGGGTCTCTGACAGCCTCTGCGCGTAATCCACGACGTTGTCGTGCAGGTATCGGCTGTTGGTGTTCAGCACCTGGTTCTGTTCGTGTGCTGCTTGGACCACGAGAGGGTGGCAGTGCCCAACTGGAAGAGGGCCATCTCCATCACACAGCCAGCTCTGCTCAACCGATCCCAGGGGGCCTCCCCCAGCCCCAATCTGCAAACCCGGCTGGAGGAGAAGCAGTTATGGAGGGAGAGGTGGAGAGGAAAGAGGGGAGTCTGAGGACAGAGGCGGGAGACAGAGATGTCAGTTCTGGAAAGAGAGACCTGGAAAAGGGTCCCTGAGATTCTGGCAGAAACCCTATCTAGAAAACCTATGTCTTCTTTTTTTGTTTTGTGAGGAAGATTGGCCCTGAGCAACATCTGTTGCCAATCTTCCTCTTTTTTTCTCTGCAAAGCCCCAGTAGATAGTTGTATGTCGTAGTTGTACACCCTTCTAGTTGCTCTATGTGGAGACGCGGCCTCAGCATGGCTTGATGGAGTGGTGCGTAGGTCGGCGCCCCGGATCCGAACCGGCTAAGCCCGGGCTGCCGAAGCGGAATGCATGAATTTAACCACCACACCACCGGGCAGGCCCCGAAAACCCATGTCTTAAAGGAAGCTTCTTGAGGCCTTCTGCTTGACAATATGAGGGGTGTGGGGTTTGGGGTATGGAGGGGGGTGTGAGTGTCTGTTGGTGGGCTTGACGTCACCAGTCAGTGGGGGCTGGAGGTAATGCTGATTGGCAACGGCCAAGGATTATGACAACAGCGAACACTGAGAGCTCAAGTGCCAGGCACACTCAAGGCAAGTTGCACAAATTACTTAATCCTCCAAAACACCTGGAGGTGAGGACCTAGTACTATCGTGTCTATTTTGCAGGTGAGCAAACCGAAGCACAGAAAATTAAGTGAGCTGCCCAAGATTACAAAGTTAGTAAGTGTCGAGGACAGGGACATGAACCCAGGTGGTCTGGCACTAGAGTCCCTGCTTTTAGCTGCTTCTTCATTAACCTCCAATTTGCCTGCTGAGTCACAGACTCCCTTTCCTTCCGTCAGCTCTGGCCACCCCACCTGGGTAACTGAGTTCCTACTTCAGTTTCCTTGCCCAGTACCTGAGATGGTCACTGGGGCTGAAGCCCTGCCATGACCCCCAGCACATGGCCAGGGCCCTGCTGCATTGTTGGTCACGGCTGGGCCGACTGCTACTCTCTGAGCTCGCCATGGTCTCAGGTGGAATTGGACCCCCAGACCTAGGTCTCTGATTCCTGCCCCGTTTAGCAGAGCTACCGCTTGGAAACTTCTACAGCCACACCACAAGGACTGGGCCTTCTCTGACATGGATGCTGGGTAAGCTGAACCCAAGTCCCCCGCACCTTTCTGCAACCTGAGGATCGATCACCCTTGGACCAGGTTCACAGCCTGGCCCTCCTCTCCTGCCCCGCCAGCCTGAGGTACCATACTGACCGTGAGCCACATTGTTGATACAATCGATGTATTCTGCCCCCTGTTCATCGTACACGTACTGTCCTCGGCCCCGGACAATCTTAATAGGATCCTCAGGAAAAAAGAGTCTGCAGGAAGAGCTGTGGGGACAGGCAAGGAGTGGACAGCCATGTCTGAAGACCTGAAGGGAAGGTCCACCCATCACTGGCCTCCCCCACTCCTTCCCAGTTTCTGGAAAGGACAAAAGCTTGAAGAGCAAGATGTTGCTTCCCTGCCTCCAGTCCCCCGCTCCATAGGTGGCTGGAACGGAGGAAAAGGATGGGGTAAGAAGTTGCTAAAACTTGAATTGTTTAAGTCATTTGAAGACTAAGTGGCCTCATTCATTTCCGTACGTGCCCGCACCAGTCCCTGGGGCCGGGAAAAGGTGGCCGCCCCAGACCCACGGGGGCTCCCGAAGGCAGTGTTTCCTTACTGGGATGGGTGTGAGGGAGGGCACCCCCACCAGGCAGCTGCCTCTCAGCCAGACACATGGCCCCGCTGGGTGCCAGCTCTAAGCTCTAGTCAGAAGCTGCCTCTCCCCCTCGTCCCACCGAGAGCCCTCTCACAGGTCACGGGGGGCCTTTCTTCAAGGCTGCCTGTGAAACGACCCCACCGCCACCCTGCGTCTGAACTTTCGATCCCTTGCGGGGTCACTCTCAGGGTAGGCCTAGGTCCTACTGGCGGGCTGCCAGTGGGAGCTCCTCCCCGGGGCGGGGGC